CTTCCTTGGTCTGCTACATTGGGGGTCGACGTTGTATAAACCTGATAAGGATAATATTGGATTTTTGGCAGATATCTGGTATGTTGATATTTTAAAACGTATTTGGCTAATAATCAATACCAATATATTTTTCCTACACCTACTTACAGAGACTACATAGCTTTCTCTGCTGTGGAATTAAAATACTACATTATTCTGCACGGTCTTTGTCCATTTGATCTGCTACCAAATGCAGATGCCAAAAAGGGGGCTGAAAATGACGTAACACTTCAACTTGGATTATATTTAATGTCAAATTTATTCATGACATTTACTCCTAACACAATGACAACACTCAAACAGTGCAAATTTGTAAATTATCACAAATCTAAACTCAACGGCCCGTGTGACGTCATAACGTTGTGCTGGCGCTGCAGGCATCCTTGTCATACAAAAACAGTGCCATATATATATATATATATATATATATATATATATATATATATATATATATATGCCTTTTATATTGTTGAGTTATTTTGATGGAATGGCCTATGTCCAATATTTAACGCTATTGCTACTATTGGCAGATACTGATACATGTCGAAAATATTGTGCATCCCTAAATTTAATTATTGTATATTTGGTAACACTGATTAGCATTACCTGTAACTAGCAGTAGTAGAATTAGCGCACATAATTTCACAGCAATTTATTTATATATTTATTTTTGTAAATGAAGTTTAATCTTTTTTAAAGTCTAAAAATTCCTGAATCCAAAAGGCAAATCACCTTTTAATGAGTTAAATGAATGTTTTGGTATAAGAACAGTTAAAACACACAAAGTTTGTCTTGCTAGATTTACAAAAACAAACAAACAAACAAACAAAAAAAGCCCCCAAAAAACAGGATCATATACGTGGGAAGGCAGAATCAACATTCTAATATTTTTTTCTTTTTTGGGCCCTGGTTATTATAATTGATCAAATGTCTTGTTTTCAGTCAATAAAAATGGTGGTTTTGTCATTCTAGCTATGGTTTAGTTGTAATTGTAATGGTTGCACACTGGAGAGGTGGCCAGGGTCCCAAGTTTCTGCCATTGTTTTAGTTTTATTTATTAATTTTATTTATTCAATGCTGAAAAGTTTGGAAGCCATTGTTTTATACTGTGAGCACTGTTTGAGCAACAAAACATCAGAGCCGTCTGTTCATCTCCACTTTAGCAATTATAATAATTCTTAAATAATAAAAAAAAAAAATACAATTTCATGTTAATTTTTATATTTAGTATTTTTAATATGCGTTGATTGTGGCAGCCTCAGAATCTCATGGACTTTATACAATCTATGGCCTGCGATGCATTTCATACAACTCTTATAAGATGTTTTGTTCAGGTTTAAGTTTTGTTTTCAGTACATCTTGCATCTGGTTTCGATCAGTGACTGACTGAGACGTTAAATGTCCCACTTCTTTACTTTCAAAAAGACCTGGTTTGATTCCACAATCATCTTTTGGGTCACTGTGCATTTGTTTGGTGAAGCACTGTGCCCGCATCTTGCAGCATTTAGCTGAATCTGATCTAACTATTTGATGTCTTACATTTCAAAAGTCATCTGATTGCTTCTATCTTCAGTCATGAATGAACACGAATAATCCAGCAGCATCACTGAAAGCTATTACTGCTGTACTATAAACACATTTTAGTTGGTGTCAGATGATTTATATAATAAATACACTTTTTAACCTCCTGTTAGTTACCTGTTCCTATAACATCTGTTAAAACAGAACTAGACTGGCATCTTCAGATGTTTTGGGGCTCCTGAAATTGCTCTATTAACGGAGCATACATAATGAATGTTTACGCCTTGCTACATTTTCTACTTGCTGTCATGCAGTGCTTCTTTTCCATGAAGATTTGGATTATTACAATGATGAGAATAATTATTGTACTCATCGTTACAATTTTTTTTCAAGGTTCATGACAAAAGTACCGAAGAAAGTCAAGATTAACACTTGTAGCGTATTAAAAAAAGAGCAGGATTAAGGATGATGAGGAGCCCTTTAGGTGCCTTATTGACATTTTGCATATTACAATAATGAGAATGTACACATTAATTTCAAGGGTTCTAGACCCACACAGCAGAGCTGCCCTTAACTTTAATATAATATCTAAAGTCTGAAGAACAGATAATCTATGCCTTGTCTGAAAGTACGAGAGTCTAACCTGTCACAGTTTATAATTTAATCAGTCATTTCTGCACAAACCACAAGTGGATCTGAATGTATCCTCTACTTAAACAAAAAAAAAGTATAAGTTTAATGAGTAACAGTCAGTTTAAGCTGTACAAAGAACAAACTGCAATTTGTGAATAGCTTAAATATGATATGCTGTACTTTATGAATAAAAAAGAAAGGCACCGTACTGCTTTCTTATTTCTAAGACATGGTCAACAGGGGCGATACTAGGATCTGACCTTTTGGGGTGCTTAGCCCCCAGTACTGATAGTGGCTCTTGATTTGAACAACGCACCCAATGGTGTGGTTTCTGAGAAGTGCAAAAGCTTACAGCACCTGGTATTCCCAATCGGTCTCCCATCCAAGTACTAACTAGGCCTGACCCTGTTAGCTTCCAAGATCAGATGAGATTGGGCGTGTTCAGGATAGTATGGCTGTTAACGTGGAGCTCAATCACTAATAGGACTTTTAGAGGATCATAGCAAACAAAAAATAAATAAATCAGAAGTTGTAACATATCTGCATACAAAACACAAAACAAAACATAACTAACTTTAAGCATTAACCTTTAATTTAACTATTAACCTATGACTGCAAAGCGTTTATAATGCAAAACCCAGCAATATTGTTGGAGGAAAGGGGGTGGAGCTTCTGCCGGTAAGGGACGTTTACCTTCGGGACAAATTGAGGTCAGTTGCTGATGAGCATAGCCTATCGGGTTGATTGACAGGTGGTGTTGAGGATCTGACTCCTGCAAAAAAATTCATATATTTTACTGGCCTGTTTAAGAGTGTCCTTATTTATTTCACATTTTTTAAATATTTTGGTGAATCTAAGATTTGGGAACCAAGTTTCATTACAAAATCCTAATTATGGTTTATAAAAAATTTTTTAGGGGTGCTTCAGTGCCCCTCTAAAAGAGGCTAAAATCGCTGCTGGTCAACAAAGTGTTGTTTCAGTTCAAGGGGTCAGAGTTCACGTTTGGGATGGTGCTCTTTTACTGATGCTGTTGTTCAAATATTTGTTTCCATGGTGCCATGTTGTGCTCCTGCACTGACACCTCTCTTTCATCAGAAATAAAATGTGCAGCTGTTGGTACGTGCATGCAGACTCAACATTTACTGTTCCCCTTCAGGTTCCCATGATTCCTTCAGTTTCTACATCGACGAGGCGTCTCCAGTAGGCCCCGAGCAGCCAGAGACGTTGCAGAATTTTGTTTCTGTTTTCGGCACAGTAGCCAAGAAGCTAATGAGAAAGTGGTTGGCTACGCAGACGATGAACTTCACCAGCCAACTGGAGGCTGGGATACGCTTCTTTGACCTGCGCATCTCCACCAAGCCCCGTGACCCAGACAACGAGCTGTACTTCGCCCACGGACTCTTCAGTGCCACGGTCAGCAGAGAGCAGCCACTTTTTCATGCTTTTTGAAGCAATGACTGTTTAGTGATGTTTGTGGTTGCTTAGTGATGTTATAAAAAAAAATATATATATATATATATATATATATATATATATATATATATGTAGTGAACCAGATGACCTCAAATCTACCAGATGGACAGAGACTGTTATTTTCATTGATCTGAATAAGTCTGGGCCATCTGATGAACTTTCTTTCTTGAATTAATCAAGCAGAAAAGACAATTCTTTATAATCATTACTGTCTTACAAATGTTTTGATAATCAATTGTGTTAGTTTCACTCAATTCTTACAGGTTGAAAAGAACTACTCATTTTTATTTTACATAAACAGTAAGTAATGATTTTTATTCCTCATTCAGAGAAGAAATCACCTGAATAAGCATTCCTTGATTTTCTGTCTGAAATGAGCAAGTCGTAAGTGTGTGAAAGTTGAGGCTTCGGTCAGCTAAATGTTTACTGAAGAAGAAATGTCATGTTTAAACTTTTTCAGAAGATTACCAAGAGTAGACTCCAAAAAGTCTGCTGCTTCTGCAATAATCTTTTCTGTATGTTAAACAAGTTTCATTCTCTGACCTCGACTGTTGATAAACACCTTACGTCAAAACCACTCCTCTTTCTGGTCCTTCCACGAATCAGAAAGCTCTAAATTGAACAGGAAGTAAACTCATTTAAAAATGTGACAACTTCCCAGTTCAAGTCAGAATTCGAGATTTCCAGAATTCCAAGAGAATGAGGGTTCTGAGAGATGTTGGAATGAGAGCTGACAACAGGTCCGATAGTCCAACAGAATGAGCTGATAGAGAGTGCAGAAGATTCCATGGAGAATGGAAAAGTTCTGAAGGAGTTCCGAAGAGAACTAGAGTTATGAAGAGTTTGGAGTTATGAAATCCAGAGACGTTTTGGGATTATAATTCTGTTTTGAACTAACCACGCACGACTCTCCGAGGATTTTTAGCTGTTCTGAACGGAGGCGCTGAAACAGTCTGAAGGACTCTTACTGAGCTGATCTATCGTCAAACCAGGTAAAGATTTCTTCTTCGACTAAAGTGTACCGTGGACGGGCTGAGGATCTGACGGAGCGTGCAACTTCTGGTCAAACAGATTAAATTCCCTCACATATTTCCTCTGTAAGATAAATCTCAATTTACTCTTAAACTCACCTCTCTCTCATAAAACAGTACAGATATTTTAGGAATATCTGAAGCAAAGTCCTCAAATCACCGCCGAGTGATTTGAAGTTCATTATTTGTGAAACTGTCTGTTATTATTTTCATATTTTGCCAAATTAATGTAAATGTTTGATGTTAAACTTTGATTCTGAAAATAAATGATTCCATTCATTTGATGGGTCAAGGATAAATAACGTCTCTCGTTCACATTTCTGTTAAATTCAATGCACGGCTTACACAGTCAGAAAAATGAAGAACTCGTGAAAAGTATGCATAAATATATACACATATATTTGTCATACAACAAGTGACACGTACCTCACGTGACTCACTACATATATATATATATACACAGTATGTGGCAGCCAATTTACCTGTTTGTTCAAGTGCAGCTTGAGAGCTTGATGAAGCAACATACTTCAGAGAGTCCAAGTACAAAGTCACAGTTGTTTGTGCATCTAGATTTGATGCCGTTATGCCAGCGAAGTAATCATTAATCCAGTTGGCGTTCATGTGTTTGTGTCCAGGTACGAGAAGGTCTCGAGCAGATCAGTAGTTTCCTGTCAGCTCATGCCAAAGAGGTTGTTTTCCTGGATTTCAATCACTTCTATGGCGTGCAGAACCTGCACCACGAAAAACTGGTGGCCATGTTGAAAGAGGTGTTCGGAGAGAAACTCTGCCCAGTTGGGTTTGCTCAGGAGGTACAAATACAATTAATATTTTACCTGAGGTAAAATTACAAGTGTATTACAGTCCATGATATAATCTGAAAGTGCCATGTGTAAGCAGCCCCAATTATTATCGCTCAACACTGAAGGTGTGTGTGTTTGTTTGTAGCATTAAAAAAAACAACAAAAAAAAACATGAACTACAGGATTGATTTTAATGAAATTTACAAGTTTGCAGTTGGCACTCAAAATGGTCTCTACAGCTAAGCAATATTATTATACACAAACATTATTTTATTAATGTTAACCTTTATTTAACCAGGGAAACCCCATTGAGATTACAGATCTCTTTTTCAGGGCAGGCCTGGGCCTGAGGGCAGCCTAACATGCATGTTTTTATACTGTGGGAGGAAACCGGAGTACCCGGGGAAAACCCACGCAAACATGAAGAGAACATACAAAACAGTGCTGCATGGTTATAACCATGTTATTAATTTGGTGTGAAAGAAGCGAAGAGTGGTTTCTGAAATACTTTGAGCACTAACTGGTGAGATCTGATTTTCAAACTTGCACAACAACTTTTGGAGCTAACTTTGTCTGTTAGCAAAATCTCATGAGCCACTTGACACATTTAAATGAAACTCAAAAGTAATCAGAGGTTGGACAATTACAACATACTGACTTCTGAAGACACCTCAATTTAAAATGACTGCCCCAGCCTTGGAAAACAAAATAAAATTAAAGAATGACTGTAACTCAACCATTTTCACAGATATTGAGCTAACTTTTTTTTGTTTTTTTTGTAGTTGAGCATCATCCCCAGCACACAGTCAAGGCACAAACATTGTGATGACTCATTTAGTTTTACAAATACAAGGTTTGATGAAATAGGCTCTTTTTCAACATAGGATGATTTTGGTTTCAAGCTCTGGCATGAAAGGTGGCAAGTGATAAACGTTCCTTGAAGGATTGCTCAATAATTAGTTTGTTTCAGGGGCTTTTGTAGAATCCTAACAACTTTTCTCACACAAAAACAAGTAATTTTATGTGGACATGTTCAAGAAGCTTTGAATATTTTTCCCCATCTCTACAAAGAAGACATTGTGTTTTGATCCTTTTAGACACACTATACCATACCAATTTATTTATATAGCACTTAAAACAGCAACAAGGCCAACCAAAGTGCTGTACAAAAGAACCAAACATGCACAGCAGACAGGAAAACATAAAATAGAAATACAGATACAAATAGCAGCAGAAGCTAACTAAAATGGCCAACAGAGTAGAGAACAGACCGGACCAAAACAAATCACACCGTGTTAAAGGCAAGCGAATAGAAGTGGGTCTTCAAGCGAGACTTAAAGACTGAGAGTGTGGGAGCCTGCCGGACACTCAGTGGCAACTCATTCCACAGTCGTGGACCTGCACCAGAGAAAGCCCTGTCACCTCTGAGCTTACGACGAGTTTCTGGGACTGAGAGAAGCATCTGGTCTGCTGACCTCAGAGAGCGCGGTGGGACATATGGCTGCAGAAGATCAGTGAGATAGGATGGGGTGGAACTGTTCAGTGATTTAAAAACATACATGAGAATTTTGAAATGGATCCGAAGGTGAATGGGTAGCCAGTGCAGGGAGGCCAAAACTGGCGTGATGTGCTCTCTATAGCCTGTACCAGTTAAAAATCGGGCTGCAGCATTTTGGACCAGTTGTAGATGAGCAATGGAGGACTGACTGATTCCAAACAGAAGTGAATTGCAGTAATCAAGCCTAGATGTTATGAAGGCGTGGATCACTGTCTCGAGGTTCTTTTTGGAGAGTATAGGCTTCAGCTTAGACAGCCGTCTCAGCTGAAAAAAACAGGATTTGACCATCATGTTTACGTGACTGTTGAGTTTTAAGGACGGGTCCATTATCACCCCCAGATTAGTCACCTTTTGTTTCTCTAGCGGGGCTAGAGAGAAAATGTCAATGTTCACTATGATGAACATCTCTTTTCATGGATCAGTTTTTTTCACTGTAAACAGACTTTTATATTTAAATCTAGTTAAAAAAAAATAATAATAATTGCGTCAGCTTTGCTGCTGTTGTTTCACTAAATGAGCTTCCCATCTACTTCTTTTGCGCACCACTACAATCCCTCCCTTCTTCGTATTTGAAAGCTGTAAAGGGAACAATCAGTCAAAAACTCATCAGCTCTGTAACACCTCACATGTCGTCCATCAAATATCATAGTTTTCCCTGAGTAAGACATAAACAGAAGGAGAAAAGCAAATACAGACATGAAGATTCGTGAAAATAATAGTGATTTTAGGAGATGGAGGGACATGTGAAGTGGTGTGTAATTTTAGAAAAAGCAAATTACTGGGATCCCATTTTTTCCCTCAACTTTTACTAAATCCCATTTTCTTCCCCTCTGGCCTCCTCATGTGGAAGACTTTTGCACTAGTAACTCTCCGACTCGTCTGTCTCAGAACGTGCACACGAACATGAACTTGTGGGTTGCCAGGTCTGACATAATTCAGATCAAACCTGTTACAGTTGTCTCCTTATCTCACGCACTCCCTCATTCCAGTGAGCTTCAAAAAGGATGTTCATCTTGATTTCCAAATTAAAAACTCAAGTTAAAAACATCTAAGACATAATTTTTCCCCCTTTTCATGCAAAAATCTGACTATAAACACCAGCCTGTCTCAAAAAACAAACAAACAAACAAAAAAAGCAGACTTATTTATTAGAATTTGCGTCAGTGACAAATGTGATGTCACATATATATTTAATGGTTATGCAAGTAACCAAGAAACTTACAGTCATAAAGAAGTTTTATGTATTAATGTGAAACCATAAACTGGTGTACATGCATGTGCGAGAACTTCCCAAAAAACAAAATCTAGTGTGCCAAAAGTCCATGCTCAATAATCCATGTAATAATCCAACAATGTTCAGTCAGGTTATCTGGACGGTTTCTTTTTTGCTGAGACGTTTCGTCCTTCATCCGAAGGACTTCTTTAGTCTGAGGAGTCACAAACAGACTGAAGTCTCATAAATACCACACTCCCATAGTGAAAAAAAAAACAGTTTGCTGGTGATAAGATGGTTTCTGGGGCCTGCCCTCTCCCCCGTCAACTCCTCTGAGGCAGTCCTACCAAAATGGTTCAAAACGCAAAAGTTCATGCTCAGTAATCCAGGTAATAATCCAACAATATTCAGTTAAGTCATCTGGGCGGTTTCTTTTTTGCCGAGATGTTTTGTCAGAGGAGAGGGCAGGCCCCAGAAACCATCTTATCACCAGCAAACTGTTTTTTTTTTTTTTCACTATGGGAGTGTGGTATTCATGGGACTCCAGTTTGTTTGTGACTCCTCTGACTGAAGAAGTCCTTCGGATGAAAGCAAAAAAGAAACTGTGCAGATGACCTGACTGAATGTTGAAAATCTAGTGTGAACTTGAGCGTTCAATTTATGCAATGGAAACAATGTTCAGCTACCACACCAAATATACCCGATATCTGTAAAACTGGTTGACTTACAGTTGTTCCTTGTTTATTGTTGTTGTGGTTATTTTCCAGACC